ATTATTATTATTTCCGGGGATTGTTTTGGTTTTATTATTTTGGCATTTATTATCACGATATCTGTTATTGGCAAGAATGAATGTTGGGTTTCTTTATTATTATTGTTGTTACTAATGCTGTGGGCATGAATCTAATTATTCATACGATTTTTTCCTTCCTATATTGAAAATTTTCTCTTGATTCTATTTCTGTACGCAATGATTGGTCTCAAAAAAAAAAAAAGAATGTGTGCTGGAATAAATTAACTGGGGAAGGTTTTTTTTTTTCTGTTTTGGGTAGAACCTGATAGAATTGAGATATGAGGTTATCGATTTCCCAAAAAATTCTTTTATCATGTTTTATTTGGCATTCAAAGAAATCTGTTTTACGTTTCTCTTGCATGAAAGATAAGTTCTTGTGTGTGATATCTTATTGTTGGTATTAGAAGATTATAGTAAGAAATAATATAAACTAAATTTTAGTTTTTTTTTCTTATGTCTGATTTTCAGAATAATCGCATATATAATCATATTAAAGTTTAAATCATCTTTGGTTTCTCACTGCATCAGGGCTTACTGTGTTAAATTCGTTTACATTGAAATGGAGCCAAAGATTTGACAACTTGGGTATGATGAAGTTGTCACAATCGCGTTTTTTTTTTTTTTCTGGGTTTTGGTCATTATTTCGCATTGGTATTTGAATGATGTGAAGATATTTTTAGTATCCTTACAAGTGGTATTGCGGAATGGTTTTTGTTTTATAAAAATTTGATTTTATAGAATGACTAAAAGGTTGCATCATTTTGAGTTAGTGAAAAGAAATATAATTTTTAATGCCTTTAAAAGAAGGATTAAATGATTATATTCTTTTTTTCTCTTGCAGTTTTACTCTGTGCGCGTGTGGAATTGTAGGGAGAGAGGGAGTCGCATTTTGAATTTTGGAAAACCACGTGTAAACGTATTGGGATAGTAATTTGGGGGAACGTATATTATAATAAAATATATGTTTTCTTTTTTATTATATGATTGGTTGAACAAATATACCCTTAAATAAAAAAATAAAAGATGATGATAATGCCTAAAAAAAAAAAAGAGGTGAGAACCAAAGTCAATTATTTTCCCAAATTGTTTTTAAAGGGCGCCATTATTTTGGGGCTGGTATTACAATTACAAAGCTTTTCTTTGTGATGTTTCATGTGATTTTTTTTTTTTTTTTAATTATGTTGCAATCTTGTACAAGATTAAAGATCCAATGTGGGAAAATGGGATACCCTTTTTTTTTTTTTTTT